ACACTTAAATGTACACCAGGATCAAGTTGGTTTTGTTTAGAAGTGAAAGGATGTTTCAATATACACAAATTAACATAATACAGCAATTAAATAGAATCAATAATAAGGGGGAAATTACATAATTGAGCATGATAGAGCTAACCCAAAGACTTGAGAGGTAGAGACAAAGGATCAGAAGACTCTAAAGTTTCTCTGTCTGCTTCCTGGAAAATGGTTTTAGCGTGAGTGAGTGGATGACGGAAGACCAAGGGGCTAGGTAGGCATGAGAATACATATAATTGTGTCACCTAGGAAATAAAGGCAAGAGAATCAGGAGGTCAATGGAAGCTTTGGGTATATAGTAAATTCAAAGCCAGTCTGGGCTACATGAGACATCTCAAATAAATAGTAAGTAGTTGTTAAGTATATGCTTATAATCTCAATACTTGGGAGTCTAAAGCAGGAGGAATATGAGTTCTAGTCAAACCTAGGATACACAGCAAGAACATGTCAAGAGAGAAACAGCATTCAAAAATAAGTCCTTTAAAAAATATATCAATAATGAGTGAAGAAAAAAGGATTCTATTCAAAATATTCTTTAAAATAGGAATAAATTTAAAAGAAAGTAAAGACCTTTACAATAAAACTTGTAAAATAGAGTTGATGAGATGGCCTTGCCAGTAAGGGACTTGCCACTATGCCTGACAACCTGTGTTTGATCCCCTGAACCCATAAGGTTGAATAAAAGAACCAATTTCCATAAGTTGTTCTCTGATCGTCACATGAACACTATAGGGGATATGCACACTATAGAGGACATGCACACTATAGGGGACATGCACACTATAGGGGACATGCACATGCACACACAAACACTGAGATGTAAAAATAAATTTTAATAAAAACAATGAAACACTATCTCAGGGTTTTTCTACTGTGAACAGATACCATGACCAAGGTAACTCTTTTTTTCCTCCTTCCCTTCTCCCTCTCACTCCAGCCCCACTTGCTCTGACCCTGCAGTTTTTATTTATTATATGTAAGTACACTGTAGCTGTCTTCAGACACTCCATAAGAGGGCATCAGATCTCATTACAGATGGTTGTGAGCCACCATGTGGTTGCTGAGATTTGAACTCATGACCTCTGGAAGAGCAGTCAGTGCTCCTAACCGCTGAGCTATCTCACTAGCTCCCCCCACCCCCAAGGTAACTCTTATAAAGACAACATTTAATTGAGGCTAGCTTATAGGTTCAGTCCATTATCATCAAAGTAGGAGCATGGCGGCATCCAGGCAGGCATGGTGCAGGAGGAGCTCTGGCATCTCTAACATCTTAGGGTATCCAAGGAAACTGCAATGCTACCGCTTCTTACTCCAATATCTCAAATCCACACATGATCACCTGAACTCCTTCAAAGGTCTTGGGTCACTTCTCCAGCTCTGCCATCTGTAGCACTCTAGGCTTTGGTTGACTCCACTCTACTGCTGTTGCTGTTCTTGGTGGTTGTCACATGGTACTGGCATCTCTAATAGGCTTCCAGGGCTCTTCTGCTGCAACTATGCTTCATCAATATCCTCTCATAGGTTCCCTTCATGGTGCCAAATCTCAGCTTTGCATGACCCCTTCAGTCCTGGACCATCAATTGCAACTGAGGCTGCACCACAGTGCCAAAACTCAGCTGCTCTCTATGACCACTTCATGCCTTCCAAACCAGTACTACCTAGGTGATTCTTACGTTACCAAGCCCAGCTGAAGCAGAAAGTACCTTACCTATCTCTGGAACACTCTCAGAAAACACTTCCCAGAAGATTTCACCTCAAGAATCCTGGTCTCTTAATTACTACTAATTTCTTAGCTCCAGCTAATCAACATCAATTGTCCCAGTAGTCTCTTCTATTCTTGGCTCTAAAGCCAAAGCCACATACCAAAAGCTGCCGTGTTCTGCTGCTTGCTAGAGCTGGAACATGGCCCCTTGTTCTATTACATTATCACCAGCTTTCTGTTTTCCAACTCCCTCACTGCCTAAGCTTGGTTGTCCTGGAACTTAGTCTGTAGATTGACCTTGAACTCAGATCTTCATGGCTGTGTCTCCTAAATGCTGGGATTAAAGGCATGTACTACTACCCCTGGATTTAAGACTTTGTATGAGGCTGGGTTTGACCTACTTGCCTCTGTCTTCTAGGATTAAAGGCATGTACTACCATGTCTGAACCTAAGCTTTTTCAAGGCCACTATGCCTCAAGATCTAGATCAAAAGCTTGTGTCATCCCATGTCAAGATCTGAGTAAAAAGCCTGAGTCTTCCAGCCCCATTCGCTGGATCTAGGTGTGCCCTCCATTTCTAGAATGTAGTCAAGTTGGCAACCAGGAATAGCCATCACAGTAACTGCTGCATATTCTCCAACTTCCACAAGCACACTGTGGTATCTGTACACTCCCATTCACATACAAGTAAATATAATACACTTTAAATTTTATTTATTTATTTATTTATTTATTTATTGACTTATTTATTTTTTGGTTTTTCAAGACAGGGTTTCTCTGTGTAGCCCTGGCTGTCCTGGAACTCACTCTGTAGACCAGGCTGGCCTCAAACTCAGAAATCTGCCTGCCTCTGCCTCCCAAGTGCTGGGATTAAAGGCGTGCGCCACCACCGCCCGGATAAATTTTATTTTTGATTTCTAAAATTTTATTATGATAAGAGTTGAAAAAAATCACATACCAAAATTAACCAGACACAAATTCTATAAACTCAATAAACTTCTATACAACTGGAGTAGCTATTTGGAACAGAAGCTTTGCAGGTTCACAATAGAATTTACACTTTCACTATCAAATATATTTTTATACACTTATCCTCCATCAAAAACAACAAAAAAGATCACAGCAGAGTTAGAAGTAGAAAAACAATTACCCTTCTATCCTCTTTTGTAACTTGTGTTTTATTATCTGAATTCAGTGGTTTTTTTTCTTCAAAGAAACCAAAAGAGAGATAACATGAAAACCCGAGAACTATTACAAAAAGGAAAGGGACAGGTGGAGAGCAAAAGTGAGAAGCTTCAAAAGGGGGATACTGCCATTCGGAGACAGTAGCAAGGGGCTGGAAACACCAACTATGAGTTAATTCATGGAAGACAGAAGAACTCCAGAGTAGAGTTTTTTAGCTATACTGTGAGATAGTCACAGTGGGCAAAAGGGCTATTTTTGTTAGACAGGGAAGGGAACTCTGAGCTGGCTAGCAAGCAGTGTTTCATTGTCACAGTTTCCTGGAATAGTTGCAGTTGGGTTACACTGTGGCTAGCAGTAGTCTAACCCTGAGGCAATGACAATCTTACCCTGTGTCAGAAATGACCCAGCATGACCACTCACCCATCCTACACTGGCATCTACATCTTACAGCTAGGGTTTGTTAGGATTAACACTTTGACAGAAAATGATTTTGCCTGAAGACAGTGGTGCCTTAGACTAGAGCATGAGACCAGATCTTGGGTTCAGACTCCATCTTTTTTTTTTTTTTTTTTTTTTTGGTTTTTCGAGACAGGGTTTCTCTGTGTAGCCCTGGCTGTCTTGGAACTCACTCTGTAGACCAGGCTGGCCTCGAACTCAGAAATCCACCTGCCTCTGCCTCCCAAGGGCTGGGATTAAAGGTGTGCACCACCACTGCCCACCCAGACTCCATCTTAAAGAACCTAACCTAAGGTTGAACTCTCTAGCTCCAGTTTCCAGATTACTCCTCCAACAAACCTGTGTCTAACACCAGTTTCCAGGTTATAAGCCTGCCCCTGGCACTTTACTTCCTAACAACTACCAACCAGAAAGAAGGCCGAGGTTAAGCTTAAGGTTTGGGCCGGGCAGTGGTGGCACTCGCCTTTAATCCCAGCACTTGGGAGGCAGAGGCAGGCAGATTTCTGAGTTCAAGGCCAGCCTGGTCTACAGAGTGAGTTCCAGGACCGGCTGCTTCACCCTCCCAGAGACAGCAGCGGTGTGACCCAAGCTTGAGCTTGACTAACGATCCTAGTGCAACTGCATCAGAATCAGCTCCTTGGTGGTCTTTTGGGGTTCACCAAACGGGCACAACAAGCACAGCCTTGTTCTGAGATCAGAGTGTCTCGCTATAGCCATCCCCAGAATGGCATCCAGTTAGGATTGGATCAGAGTATGATACATGCATAAATGACAATGTCACCATGAAAGCTACTAGTTTTAAATAGTTGGTAATTATAATTCAAAAGAGGATTTTTTACAAATGCTGTAAGTTTGATTGATAAATTTGACAATATTTTTAAAAGTACAGCACTAGGGATCGTAGCTCAATTGGTAAAAATGCTTATCTGCCATGCTAGAAGCTCTGGGTTCCGTCCCCTGTGTCACATAAATTCACATGTTGGCTCAGGCCGGTAATCCTAATACCCAAGAAGTGGAGTCAGAATGATCCAGAAGTTCAAGGTCATCACTTTCCATTCTTCGTAGTGAATTTAAAGCCCACTAAGGGTATGAGACCCCGGTCTCAAAATGGAGAAAGATGAGAAGGGGAGGCGCTTGGTGGGGTTGGGGGGGGATTAGGTGTGCTGAAAACTGGAAAATTTATTTACTCTTTCAAGATAAACTCACAGGATTGACTAGTACTGATCTCGCTACATTCTGGTTTTTGTTCGCAGGCAGTGAACTCAATTCAGGGCGTTCCTCAATCCCTTTAGGTGTAAGATTGGATTTATTTCCTGGGTGAGCTAGAACTGGTTGAGAAAGCAGAAACACCAGAACTCAGACAGAGGAAGGGGCGTGGCTTCCTACTTCCGGCATCCAGGCCATAAGAGCCATCAGCAGAGCAGCTGGGAACCTGGAATTGTTCCGGAGGTCACTGTAACTCGCCACCCTGTGTGTGTCAGGGAGACATTGGTGCTTTGTGGTAGCCACAGGTCTTTCACGTTAAAGACCCTAAAGACTCAGCTTCAGAAGGCCAGGGATCCACCTGTGTGTGGCAGTTTTTTTCTCAGTAAACTATGCAAGGTTTTACTATGGTTCCAGATAAGAACTGACCCAAACGTGTTTCTCATTCACTCTGATAATTGGCAGCATTTTGGAGCACTAGTGAGGACCCTGGCTCAGGTACAAGGGGAGACTGGGGCTGGAAGGGAGGGCTCCTTGGATCTGGGGTTCTTAAATATGCAGGGAAGAGTCAGGGCCGTTTGTCACTGGTTTCTTTGTGAAGGCCTAGTTGACGCCAGGCACAATTGGATCGTGTGCTGAGACAGCAGCGAATAGAGAATCTTTGTTCCTGAGGACTTTGCATGCATGTGTAGGAACGTACCAGATCTGAAAAAGTATTAGTTCTTGCTGCTCTGTGTGGACTATGTGAGAGAGGCACCAACAGCAGCTGGGGGCCGGGTAGAAAGGAAAAGCTGCAATCAGCAGTTTGTGATTATAGCCACTGCTGACCTAGAGCTCATCAGCCAGGCTAAGCCGTAAATTGGAAATCCTGCTTCAGCCTCCCTGATGCTGGGGTCACAAGCCCGTGCGTGCCATCATACCTGATTTAGAATCGGCACTTCAAACACCTGAAAGCATGCATTGAACATGGGAAGCTTTGGTGATGATAATACAGGGGATAGCAGAGGGATGTCAGAGGTCATCAAAGCTGAGGTAGCATTCCAAACAAGCCTTACGAGGTGAGAAATTTTGGGGTGTGCTTACTTCGGGACTTTGAGCACAAAGACACAAAGGCTCAGAGACCTGTGTGCTCTTCCAGGAGAGACCAGTGTGGCTAGAAGGTCAGAACACGAGGAAAACTGTCTTGAGGAAGCAGGAACCACCACCAGGGCTGTTGGTGACCAGTGGGCAGCTGAGCCAATCTGGCCAGGGAAACCTGGTGGTTTCGAGCAGATAAAACTAAGGATTGCCGGACGGTGGTGGCTCACGCCTTTAATCCCAGCACTTGGGAGGCAGAGGCAGGCGGATTTCTGAGTTCGAGGCCAGCCTGGTCTACAGAGTGAGTTCCAGGACAGCCAGGGCTACACAGAGAAACCCTGTCTTGAAAAAACAAACAAACAAACAAAAAAAACAAAAACGAAAAACTAAGGATTATTCCGGGTATGGGTTTGGAAACTGGTGGAGCGGGAACCCAATTAAGAAATGGTGTCCCCAGTCCAGAAGTGTTCCGGGAACCTGACCCTGGGAGGAATGTTTTGGATGCTGACAAAGAATCGAGGACAAGGGGTGTGGCACAATTGGTAGACTGTTGGGCCTGCCTCCAGACCCTAGGCCACCATAAAACTGGGTGTGGTGGTACATGCCTATAATCCCAGTACCCTGGGGGTAGAGGTGGGAAAAGGTCAAGGAGTTGAAAACCTGCACTGATGATGTTGCCTCCTGGGTAGGAGAAAACAAAGAGCAGAGGACAGCTCTTACTGTTGGCTCCCCCAACTAATGAAAAAGGGCTCACCCTGGTGGTGAACATGACCTGGAGTCTTCCTAGTTGAGGGAGAAGCTGAAAAGAAGGAAATGTTTGGTCTCAACATGGCATTTTCTTCCTTCCCCTCTTTTTTTTTTTTTTTCAACTAAACATTTCTTAGGCTTTTTTTTTTCCTCTTGGCAATAGGAAGGAAGGGGAATGACAGCCCAGCTCATCTTGACTGCGGGTAGGAATTGAGTTCATTTTTCATAGCCAGTGAGAGGAAGCCTGGATCCCAAATAGAGTGAAAATGATGAGTGCTGTGGATGAGAGAGAAACACGGGAGGCCCAAGACTTAATAAGTATTGTCACTTAAACCAAAGACAAAGGCAGGGAGTGTTTGGCTAGAGATGACAGGATCAGATGAGTCTTAAACCAATTCTATTGCTTCTTGGAGAATGGCTCCTGAGTGGGTCAAAGTAGAGGAGGAAGACCAAGGCCCTGGCTGGGTGTGGTCCCATGAGCCTATGAGCCCATAGTCCCAGCACTTGGGATATGGAGGTAGGCTGATCTAATCCAAGGCCTGGTTTTTTGAGACAGGGTTTCTCTGTGCAGCCCTGCCTGTCCTAGAACTCACTGTAGACCAGGTTGGCCTCGAACTCAGTGATCCACCAGCCTCTGCCTCCCAAGTGCCAGGACTAAAGGCATGTGGTGTGTCACCACTGCTTGAGTCCAAGCCCAGTTTTAAAGGTGTGTGCTGGTGCCCAGTGAGTAAAGGCTCTTACTGATGAGCCTGATGGCCCAAGTTTAGTCCACATGAAAAGAGAGAAGAACCAACTCTCTGAAGTTGTCCTCTGACCACTTATGGGCCACAGTACATGCATGCCCCACATATCCACACAAAATAAAAAGGAATGCAGTAAACATTTGAGAATGTATTGAATTACAGATATACAAAGTGGAAGGCAGAAGGTAAACTATGGATGCTGAGTCCATAGACAGACCAGGCTTAGTGAAGTTCACAGTGCCTTTTCTGCCAATGTCTAAGCTCTGCTTAAAGAAAGCCATTAGGGAAAGAAGTGGACATAGTCATTGTACTGAATGTTACTGTCCTTGATCTCGTGCTTTTCCCAGTAAAACAGCGTGGGCCTTTCCTGTTAGTCAGGATTGCTTTGGGAGGGTGTGCTGGAGGCTAAACCCTGGACATCCCATATTCTCCCACTGAGCTGCACCCCCAGCTATTGTTTTGCATTTGGGAGGGGGTGTCAAAGATTATGTATTATCTGACCATCACACAAAGCGGTAAGTGCCCTTCTGAACCTGGCTCTGAGTAACTCCAGCAAATGTATGCAGAGACATACCATAAATACCAGCTTGACTAAGCACAGGTGTGGCTGCATTTCACATCCTGAATCCTAGTCTAGTCCTCTTTGAACAAGTCACACTTCAAGATAACTTAGGAATCGTACTGTCATGTACTCATGTGTTAACTTGCTTGACTGTCTTGCTTGTCTTGAATACCTCTGCTCCTTATGTGGCTTTTGGGACCCCCCCCCATGGACACCATCTTTTCTCCTTGGCACCTTTCTTATAGGGCACCGGGGTACTAACCACCATTCCATAATAAGAGAAGACTTTACTATCAAAAGTTCACTCTTCATCTTTCCATATTGAAGAAACAACTTGAGCCCACTTGAAAATTCTTTCACCGCAACAAGATCTGAACTCAATTTAAATCTCTCTACAGAAAAACAAAACCCCAGGCTGGGGATGTAGTATGAAGCCCTGGGTTTGACCTCCATCACTGTATAATCGAAAGGTTTATATACCTTTAGCACTTGGAAGATAGAGGCTGGAGGATCAGATATTCAAGGTTGTCTTTGAGCACAGAGAATGTTCCAGGCCAGTTTGAGCTATTTCAGATGGAAGGCGGGGCGGGGGGGGGGGCGCGGCGACAGTGAGGAGGGAGAAAGACTTAAGTCCTTGATAGGGGCTTCAGCCCCTATATCTGCTTTAGAATTAGGCTGTCAGGCCTTCCCAAGGATGAGGGCCTTGGCCCTAGAGCCCACCTAGGTCCGAACTATATATCCCATGGCACACTGTAAATCCAGAATACTGCTGCTTTGTTAGCCAGACCCCCAAACCACAAATAACCTAAATTAGTGATTTGGTTAAAAATAGAAGCACATTCCAGAACTGTTCCAGCCTGTCGGATAGCGCTCGCTCTCTCTCTCTCTCTCTCTCTCTCTCTCTCTCTCTCTCTCTCTCTCTCTCTCGTTTATTTGCTTTTCGAGACAGGGTTTCTCTGTGTAGTCCTGGCTGTCCTGGAACTTACTCTGTAGGCCAGGCTGGCCTCGAACTCAGAAGTCCACCTGCCTCTGCCTCCCAAGTGCTGGGATTAAAGGCGTGCGCCACCACCGCCAGGCTCGGATAACTCTCTAAAGTGTACTTATCCATTATGAAATAGAAAGTGGATCTTAACATTGCTGTACATCAGTGAAGATGAATTATTATATCAAGAAATGTTACCTGGCTGGAGTGCTTTTACTCCAACTAAGATAGCTGTGTGGTCACTAGGCAACAGTCTCCAACAGTTTCAAGGAAATTTTCCTTAAAAAATTGTGTGTGTCTCTGTGTGTGTGTGTGTGTTTGTATGTATAGGTGCTGTGAGACACATGTGAAGGTCAGAAGACAACTTGACAACTTGTAGGTCCCAGAGATTAAGCAGGCTTGTCAGCAAGTGTCTTTACCTACTGAGCCCTCTTGCTGACCCAGCAATATAATCTTAATGGGACCACCATTGTCTATATGAATTCTGTCCACCACAATATTATGTACCATGTGACTATATATTATTTTGGAAGGAGACTAGATCTCAAGCCAGCATGACATATTTATGACTTCACACTTAGTGAGTTGCATTTAATAACTGTTTTTAATAGACAAACAGCAGGCCCAGAAGGGTAGAATAGCAGGAGTTAGGTTTGGTGATCTGCACTGCTAGTACAGCAGGCTTTCCGTTAGAGCAACCTTTGCTGAATGGAAAGAAAACCATAGAGCAAAATGCAGCCAAGTTTTCAGAATAGGCCACCAATGAGCCATTGAATGTTACTAGTCTTCATTCTAGTACATTTTTTTTTGTCTCATTGGCCATTGGCTAGTCTGGAATTTTCTGTGTAGTCCAAGCTGGCCTTGAACTCACAAAGATCAACTCTTAAGTGATGAGGCTAATGGCCTGCAACACCATGCACAGCTTGATTTCGGCTTAGTTTAGTTGCATGATAGTCCCTTTTAACTTATAATTTAATTCGAAGATTAAATGACTTAATCTTATACATGGAATCACGTTTATGACAGAGGAAAGGTCTAAAGTTATCTCATTTTTAAAAAAAGATTTGTGTGTGTGCCTGTATGTCATCTGTATGCAGTGCCTTCAGAGGCCAGCAGAGGGCACTGAATCCTCTGGAACTAGAGTTACATACAAATGGTTGTGAGCTGCCATGTGGGTGCTGGGAACTGAGTGGGCCTCTGTAAAAGTAGCCAGTGCTTTTAACTGCTGAACCATCTCTTTAGACCAAATTATCTGATTTTTAAACCTGTTACAACCATTGATAAACCTTATACTCTTTAGTATATGTAACATTTGAGCTCTGGTGATAACTCAGACAGAAAAGTACTTGCAGAACAAACTTGAAGAGCTAAGTTTGCTCCCCATCACCCACGTGATGTTGGTCACGTGATGCTGGGTGTTATGGCACATGTGTAACCCCAGTGCTGAGGAAGTGGAGACAGAAGATCCCTGGGCATCACTGGGCAGTCATCCTAGCCTAAAGGGACCCATCAAGAGACTCTCAAAAAACAAGGCTCCTGAGGAATAATACCTGAGCTTAGCCTCTGGCCTGCACTCACGTGTACAGGTGCACACAAATGAATACACATACAAGCAAAGCATGCATGCATACACACTCATGCACACACGAACACTATACACTATTATATATTCGTGTGTGTGTGTGTGTGTGTGTGTGTGTGTGTAGATCCTAACATTTACAGTGCATTTCCTACCACCTAAGACAGGTGCTTGTAATCCTAGCACTCTGGAGGCAGCAACAGATGACGGAACACAGGTATAAGGCTAGCCTGTTCAATAGCAGCTAAGGCTACTTAGTAGTACCAAGTCACCATATTGAAATGAAAAACAAAAAGCAGTCTTGAGAGGGGCTCAACAGGTAAGAGAATGCACTGCTCTAAGAGAGAACCCAAGTTTGGTTCCCAGCACTTACATCAGGTGGCTCACAACCACCTGTTAGCCCCGGAGGTTCTGCTAACATTGGCCTCCATGGGGCCCTATGTACAAATCTATACATACATACATCTATACATACATACATATTATATTTTAAAAAATTAAATTAAAACAAAACCCAGTGAGCAATAATTGTCCTCCTCCATTAAAATTTCCTGTCCCCAGACTATGTGGAAGTACTCATGTCCAGTACCAGTGACTAAGCTCTGTTTACTGTATATGTAAGGTCAAACACTTTCTCTTAGGACGGAGAAAATGTCTTCAGTAAAATGATGCATCAACAGAGGGTCTTCTCCCATTTTTTTCTAGAGAAATACATTCCTGGTCAGTGTGATGGAAGAGTTTCAGACCACTGACTCTTTTCGATATGAACTTGAAGATTTCATTAGAAAGCAGAAAGCCAGAGGATTACAACCCAATGTCTGCTTCAGAAAGATGGCAGAGGATTCTATTTACCAAAAGAGAGACTGTGTCAGCCCTGGAGTTCCAGAGCTGGGGTTACCATTCTGGTTCAGAAACTACTCCAGATACTCTCCTTATAAAAGTCTGACAGTGGAAAACCAGATACCTTACTACAGACAAAGACTGGAATCTCTAAAACATTGTCTGAAAAACCAGCCAGTCAGTCAAGACAGAAAGGAGAGGATAAGGCTCCAGAAGGAAGGAGGAGCCACCACTCAGGAGCCAGGGATACCCAGGGGGAAACTCTTCAGAGGTTCATGCAGAGAAGATAGCCTCAGCAGAAGGAAGGTCTCAGCAGAGCCAAGGGATACAGAGAAGTCTAAGCACAGAAAGGAGAACCACCATAATGGGAGAGATTCCACCAAAGGCAGACACAGGTCCCACCGAAAGAAGAAGGAACCGGAGGAGAGGGATTTGTGGGATGAAGCTATCCTGGGCAGTCGCTACTGATGTTTGTGCATTTTGGGTCCCAAAAGTCAATGTGTTGATTCTCTTGGTAAGGATGGATTAAATGACCTCAAAGCAATTAGATGCCAGGTGGCTGCTGTGATCCATCTGCTCTACTGGTGTATAAATTGTGAGTCTGCACAGGGATGTTCTGGTGCTGGCAACGGCAGACCCCGTTGGCAGTGTGCAAGGCCTTTGGGCTGTGCTGACGGACACAGGGACTTTCAGGCACAAGCCTGAGTGTCCTTTAGAAGTCAGTCAATTCAGATAGATCTAGGTGCTGAGGCTGAGAATGTTTTGCTCTGGGCTTTAATCATCAGAGAGGCCCTAGTACTTGGCTCCAGAGCAGAAACTAGCAGGAATAGGTAGTAGCTGCCAGCTCCCCAGCAGGCCTTGCATTTGAATGCTCAGCTCCTGTAACAGGCCAGAGCTATAGTTCTGGGGACTGGGATATTCAGACGCTTGGCATCTCCCTGACACTCTCCCTGTGATCAGGGCCCACTTGCCGTTCTACAGCTTTTTGTTGACCACAGTCCCTCTGCTTCCTATTGTTTCTGCCCTTGGGCACTCTGGGAATTTGCGACATGTTCTGTTCTTACCATCATTGCTACTATGGAAAACACGGCAACAGTAGCTGCTGCCACCTTTGCCATCGCTACTGTATGGCGATACTCCTGTCCACTCCATCTTCTTGCTACCACTCAGCCCTTCTATTAATGGTAAAGATCAGAAGAAGACAAGAGAAGAATTGTGATCTGCACTAATAGGGCTGCATTATTTTTTCCCATGCTGAGGATGTAATCCAGAGCCTTGAGCTTGCCAGGCACGAGCTCTTGCATTGAGCTACATCTCACTCCTAGTCATGAGCCTTCTTCTGATGGGTCACCAAGAGAAGTGCCCTGCCACACCTAGTTTGGCTAAAATTGGCTGCAGGATTACCTAACATTCACCAAGGTTTATGATAAGCAGATCAACATACGCTGTGTAAAACTGTCTTGGTGATAACAGCTGGGCTTAAAGGCATTCATCACCATGCCCACCAAGAGAGAATTGTCTTATGACATATTAGCCAGATGTTATATTAAACAAGAAAAATTAAATGTCAAAACATTTAGAAGCAAAGCAGAAGGCTTTGCTTATAAAAATTAGAGGCTTGAAAATAAGCATTAAATAAACACACAGAAGAACTCCTGAAAGACATGGAGTATCTGGTACGAGTGCGCTCAGGAGACAAGAATTTGGTGGGTAAAGGACAGCAGTGAGGGGCAGGCTAACTTTGAAGGGGCTAGTGAGAGGACTCGGGGTAGAGGTGCTTGCCACCAAGCCTGGCTTAAACCTGAGTTTGATCCCTGGGACCCACACTGTAGGAAAGAGCCAACTCTTGCAGTGTGCTGGTTTTATGCAGAATTTTGTTTCATATGAGACTTTTCCTGTAGCTATTAGTAAAGGCAAGAAACAGAGCAGAGGGAAATTGCTTGTTATCATTCTGTTAAATGTCCTGCCCCAGGTATCAAATTATCATCTCTTCAAACAGGACCTTCCCAGCACTTGGGAGGCAGAGGCAGGTGGATTTCTGAGTTCAAGGCCAGCCTGGTCTACAGAGTGAGTTTCAGGACAGCCAGGGGTATACAGAGAAACCCTGTCTCGAAAAACCAAAACAAACAAAAAGATAAAACAGGGCCTTATTAAAACCTTAGTAAAACCACTTGACATTTTAATCTCTTCCAGTAGGGGGTGGTAGAAGGTCATTGCAGAGTCAGAAAAGGGGGACTTATGTTTTTATTTATTCAATCATTTTATCTTGGATTTCATCAATAAAAATGTTGTGGATGATTGTTTTGTGTTATGACATGTGATATCTTTGGCTGTGACTCTTGCCCACAAAGCCTAAAATAACTTACTATTGGGCCCTTTACAGAAGACCTATCAAACCCTGCCCTAGAGTTCTCTTGTGCCCACCATTTTTGATTAATTCCTTTTTTGTATTTGATTTTCTCTTCTTTAATCACTGTTGTGGCTTTGATTTGACCCTGACTGATACAGTGCTATTACACAAGCTCTTTCTGTCAATTAAGAAATCATGAACCAAATAGTAAAATAAGTATTTCACCTGTTCATTTAGACAGTAAATGCTGTGGAGGTGACTTGGTGGCAAAATTCTTGCTGTGCAATAGTAAGGAGCTGAGTTCAAACTCCCAGATCCTATATAAAGTCAGGTGCAGTCCTCCTACCAGGCAGGAGTTAGAGACCGACTTTTAAGAAGGCAGGTTAGGCCGGGCGGTGGTGGCGCACGCCTTTAATCCCAGCACTTGGGAGGCAGAGGCAGGCGGATTTCTGAGTTCGAGAGTTCGAGGCTAGCCTGGTCTACAGAGTGAGTTCCAGGACAGCCAGGGCTACACAGAGAAACCCTGTCTCGAAAAACCAAAAATAAAAATAAAAAAATAAAAAAAAAAAAAGAAGGCAGGTTAGACTGGCACATGCAGCCATGAACAAGAGAGGCCCTGTCTCAACGTGAAGATGGACACCTGAGACGGTCCTCTGACCTTCACACTACTGTGGGACACACATACCCTCTCCCAGGAATTGTGTACACACAGGAATCTTAAGTTCTAGGATTCTAGTCCTAGGTCTAAGCACTGGGATAGAACAGTGAATGAGATAAACACAACATGGAAACCTGAGATAAACAACAGGGAGGGGAGAAATGTGGAGGGAGGGTTGATATGTAAATGAACTCAATTCTGGACACCTAGTAGAAGTAGCAGGTAATGTCTCACCCCTGGACTTACCCACTAAATGCCAGTAGCCCTCTGTTCACACAACAATAAGACAATTAACATGGTCCATAATAATGTAGACCGTGCATCCACTATGTGCTCCTGGTGCCAGACTCGATCCTTTAGTTCATGTGAAGAAATCTTTCTTCTTCCTGTCCCCCTGCCGCCTCCTCCTCCTCTTCCTCTTCTATTGTGTTGTTTTGAGACAGTGTTTCTCTGTGTATCCCTGGCTGTCCTGGAGCTTGTTTTGTAGAGTAGGCTGGCCTCAAACTCAGAGGTCCACCTGCCTCTGCCTCCAGAGTCCTGGGATTAAAGTGTGCACCACTATTGCCCATAGCAAAGAAACATTTTTATGTTGTGTCCCTGTGGACAACCTAGCATGATAGGCAAAGCTGTCAATCACACCGCCATGTGTCAAGCCTGGCTGTCTGGGAGAACCAGGTTATGACTCTTCAGAGAGGTCTTTTGAGGTGGAGCCCACTGCTCCTCACAAATGTCCCTTTGTAAGGTACAGGATCACCTTCTTAAGTGACACAGGAGAAGACTGCTCACTGGTCAGCAGTTCCCTCCTCTATGGCAAAAGGGAAAATCTCGGGTGCTGTGTGGCTTTCACGGTTCTAGAAGTGTTTGAGGCCCCTCAGACTTAAGCGTTTATCCACCTTCTATCCAAAGTAACAGTGACTTTCTGTTATCGTGTTAAATTTCTTCCTGAGATGAATTTGCTTATGTTTTTATTACTTAAGCTTTTTCTTTTTGTTTTTTAAAGGTCTATTTCTTATTTTATGTATATGAATACACTGTTGCTGTCTTCAGACACACCAGAAGAGGGCATCGGATTCCATTACAGATGGTGATGAGCCACCATGTGGTTGCTGGGAATTGAACTCAGGACCTCTGGAAGAGTAGTCAGTGCTCTAAAACACTGAGCCATCTCTCCAGACCTCAAGCTTTTTCTTTTCAAGAAGTTATGGTTAATTTCTATTGTCAGCTTGGCTGAATTGTGAGGTGTTTCTTCAGTAGAGCATGGCTCTGGTGTCTGTCAGTAGCTCCTGGAGAACCTTGGATCATGGGGACTCTGACCTCACGATGGATCCATCCATTGATGGATTAGGCCATTGCTTCCATCCTGCTCTGGTCCTTTCCCACCAACTGCTCTGTTCTACTTCTGGTTTCCCATTATGTGAACTGTTCTACTCCACCATTATGGATTGAGACTTCTCACCCCATGAACTAAACCTTCTCCTGGGACCGTGAGATGGTTTAGTAGGTAAGGGTGCTTACCACCAAACCTGACTGCTTAGGCTCAATCCCTGAGGCCACAAAGTGGAAAGAGAGAACTAACTACTGCAAGTTAACCTTTGACCTCCAAATAAGGCATGCATGCCTTACCAAAGCAAATAACTGTAATAACCAAAAACATTAACAGCCCCCACCCCCAGGTATCGGTCACAACAACAAAGTATGCCAAGAGTCAAATGTCTTCTTAGAATGTAGCTCTGGGAAAGTTAAAAGCCCCACAAGACTGTGTCAGTCAGGCCTCAAAATAGTGGAAAAGGAAACTTCTAGAGATGAGCTCATCTTTGTCCTCCCAGAGATCAAATGAGGACTAGAAATTTTGTCTTTATCCAGAATCATGGCCAAGGTGGAAAGGCAGAAAGCAAGCTGGAAGAAGAGAAAAGTAATCCAAGATGAAGTAGGGGCTGGCTCCTGTGGCTGCCCATGTCTCCATGGCTTGAGGAGACACATGCCTGCATGCCTTGAGGAGACACAATTCCTGCATGCCTTGGGGAGATGCATGTCCTAGGTCCCACTCTGACTTTTCTACCTCACAGTGGCTCAGGCTGTAAGGCCTGCTGAGGAATTTCTAGCAGATTCCATTAGACAGAGTTTTTTCCTAGTTCTGACTTAGGTGCGGTTCCTAGATTCACAGATATGCCCAAATATCTGCGTGTAATGGGTATAAAGTTGCCCAACAGAGGGGCTAGACCGTGGGTGTCATTCTCTGGAGCGTCCTCCAGGCAGGAGTGAGCAAGTTAAGGTGGAAGACTGAGCACACAGAGGAAACAGCAGGAAGGGCAAAGAAAAGCCAAAAAGGCTGCCATGGAGCCTACAGCTGCCTGCTTGGGATTGGGGTCTTCTCTCCTAGGTCAACTTGGCTTGGCACATCAGTGTGATTCGGTTTAAGACTGAAGCTGCGTATAAACCAATGGTCTTCTTTCAACTTAC